GGTTGAAGAGTAGGGGTTTTGACTCTAGGTTGGGTTTCTCAATGTTCAACTCACTGATCATAAACTGTTTTACTGATCAGTTCAGGAAGGGACTGCAGGCATAGGATGACCAACAACCTACTCAAACAAACTGGTACCTGTAAGAACATATAATTTCTCCCTAAACTGTAAAATGACACACTTGGTGGTACAACGGTACCATGTCTGTCAGTATGGACACACCATCCAAAACATTCAACCTGACGTGGTTCTTTGTGTTAATGTCGTTAGTAGTGGTTTAGTGGTGTATTAAAATAAACAAGACTAAATTAATATTCTAGATAGATATCGATCTTGTAACTATAATAATTAATGCCACAGCACTTTAGCAGCAGAAAGAATGCATTTTGATTATCTGGATTTAATAAAAGCAGTGTGATGTTGTGTTTTTGATTATGATTTTTGTGACCCTTATTTTTCAAACTTTAAAGAAAGACCCTGATGTCAAACTTATTTTTCAAGCCCTAATTTGCCAAGTTAGCATGTTTCATCTGCAATCTGCTCAATTATGAACACTTGAATGACTATTCATAGAGTCATTGCTCTTGCCTTAGAAATAATTTTACAAACTGTTTAAATAGAACAGTGTTGCTTTTCTAATTGGGGTTTTCTAAATAGGCGTAGTGATGTTTGACTTTTCTCTCTTTTTTTGTTATGTTGTGTATCTTATATTTCTATTATTCTTAGATTTTAACTTAATTTTTTCAAATAAGGATGCATGAAACAGTTTCGCTTTGTCTTGTCCAAGACTTCCTTTCTTGTTTCCTGCTGAGTAAAACGAATGAATGATTTAATAACATATGTTGTGTTGTAATAAGCTTAATTATTTATTTTTGAATAAACCACTATGCAAGTAAAACTGAATTTTTTTTCATTAATTGTGTGTTTTTTTGGGAGGGGAGGTTGTTTTAGCATTTCACCTCTTGGTGCGTATGTAATTTGCTCTATATAACTAACATTAAATTATGATTTTGTGGTATTATTATTGCAGGTTGTCAAAGGTTTTTTTTTTTTTTTTTTTTTTGGATGGTTGTGTTTGACTTTATATTTTCATTTCCATTTCCACCACCATGCTCTTCATTACAATAATGTTGTTTTTTTCCTCTTGTTGTGAACAATGAAATCAACACATTAAGTTTTGTTAGACAACAAATGAACCAAGGTACAATTGTTTTAAATTGTATGATTTTCAGCTGGGTTTTCCCCAAATATATTGAATTATATTAATACAGATTTTATTCACTACAGCAAATATTTAGAATATATAAAGTTTAAACACATCTGCTTCATTTTTAAATCAGATTTTGGCTGCCAAATTGACAATTCTTCAACATTTTATTTGTAACAATGTTAGTAATTGAGAGTTGAGGTCAACAGGCTTCAATATCCTCAAAAAGTCAAATTATTTCTGTGGTTTTTCTCATTCAAAAATTGGGACTTATATCATACAGATTTATTATGCACAGAATATGTTTCAAGCATCTGTGTTCATTTTGCAGGTGTTTTTTTTTTTTTTTGCTGTTTTTTTAATGTAAATAAAATTAGAACATTAAAAATACCAATAGAAAATGTTTTTTTATATATATAAAAATGTTCATATACTTCAACAGACAGTTACTGACACCATCCATCAGGAGGTCAAGTCAAAGGAAGGTAAAGAAGCTGTTCAGAGTGCTGGATCCAAGTAAGTATATGGAAAATTAAGTGAAAGGAAAAAGTGTGGCAGACAGAGGTTTGCACTTTGGAAGAACTCTATTCCTGAGAGAATAGAGTTCTGTATTAATAATCCAGTTAAATTTGATTAACAATCCTTACATGTACATTTAATGTTATTTTATGAGAAACAAAATTTGGGGGGGTTGAATTAGGTGTAAGGCATTATCATCAAAATGAACAAAAATTAACACTTGAAATATACCACTCTGTGCTTTGAGAATGCACATAGAATGTGATCTCACAGTTTTAAATTAAATTCCAAAATCAAATTTACATTTCTGTCTAATTAACTGAGAAGAACCTTGTATATGTGACTGAAAAAAGCTTCTGACTTCTCGGGTGCCACCGTGTTTGTCTGAAGAGAGAGAAAAAAAAGAGAGAGAGAGAGAGAGAGGGAGAGAGAGAGAAAAAAATACTTTGCTGAGTCTGTGCACATCATCCTGCTAATGGTGCTGCTCATAATCTGCTGTTCCAGCTGCACTGGCTCTGCGCAGCGAGGCTGCAGGAGCCGGGCCGTCGGGGATTTGTCAAAGGCCTGTTATTACATCTCTAGTCACATAAAATATGGCTGCCTCTCCAGAGATCCGACTGCCAGATAAATCCTCTCTCCTCCAACCAGGCTGGCCCTCGCGCTCGAACCGTCCAATGGTTGCTCCTCAGTCGCTGACCTCTGGTAATGACTTGTGATTTATACAGTACAAGTTTAAAGGACACACGCGCGCGTCTGAGGCCGGGCTTTTTCCTCCCCCGGTTCCCTCCGCTGCATCCATATCTGGTGTCACCGGAGATAACTGGCGGGCCTTTAGGAGAAGGGGAGATATGACACCCGTCTGTGGCGTGTCACGAAGTGGCTGGAAAGGGGACAGTTACCCCTGCAGCTCGTCTAATCGCAGGTAGAGTCTGCAGCGGGAGCCGTGCCTCTCACTGACACACACACACACACACACACACACACACACACACACGGTGCATACTGCGTGGTGGAACTTTAAGCTCGCAGACCGCAGTGTGAAGGGCTCTAATCAACACCTGCTTGGGAAGAAACACAAACGCTGAAACGCTGCAGGGGATCAAGGAATTTACATCATTAAGTTTATCACAGCCTGAACTCCTAAACTCCAACTAAAACTGCAAATATGGAGATCATAAAACAAACAAACACACACACACACACAAAAACAAAAAAATAAAAAACGTCTGAACAAAGAGCAGATTTCACACTCCAGTAATCAAACGGATGAGGTCATCCCTGGTTTAGAGGAGAGGATGGAGGAGAGAGCACGTTGACCTTGGTGTGAAAGAGGCGGAGATGATCCGAGAACACAACAGAAATCTGAAATCAGCTCAGGATGGAAATCCACTCTGAATTTTTTTAAAAAAGAGAGAGAGACAAAAAAAAGTCTCGTCACATTTAAATTAACATATAAAATAACAGTATCAATCATCATTTATTTTAGACATTCTTATTTTATTTGACTTCACTTAAAAAAAAGAGAGAGAGAGAAATTAGAGGGAAATGTGGTCCGAGACGTGAGGCTTATTTCTAACAAACAGAGCTGTCATCACTGATGTAGATTTTATCCTCCAGAAGCACCAAATAAACACCGGCTGCATTTTCCCCTGTTAGGAAAAAAGAAACATCAAAAATGACACAAGCGAAGAAGAGAAAAATATATTTGAAAATAAGGTTGAATTTGGTTATATATTTAATTCAGCTATTCTACAAAAAAGTACATTAATCTAATTTGTTTTAATATACCTTTAAAAAAAGTATCATCGAGCACGCACCTTTTCTGTACAACGAAGTAACAACATAATGAAAAATTCAAAAATAAATTTAACTATTGAAATATTCAAATTAAAATTCTCCATTTCTCCATTTGTCATTTTAATTTGACGATTTTTTTGTTTGATTGTTTTTGTAGAAAATATATTTTTATTACTACAGTGTCTTAATCTATCATTTTTCATAGAGATAAAAGCCACAGGTAGATAATTATTGAACTATCAATGAATAATAATAATAATAATAATAATAATAATAATAATAATAATAATAATAATAATAATAATAATAATAATAATAGCCTATTTTCTTAGTGCAAGGAAAAACAATAAACCTAAATTAAAACAACAGGAAGACTTACATGTTTCTTCTGACCTGCATTGTAAAATGTGTTTTTTTTCTTTCTTTTATGTCAAATAAAATAGTTTTTTTTTTGTTGTTGTTGTTGTTTTTGCGGCACAGCCATATATGCAAATATTCGCCGTTCTGCGAGTCCAGCGTCAGGACGAAGCCCTCACCGTCACAGCTGCAGGACGCCCGGTGCTCTGAGAGGAAATGAAATATTTCTGGGATGATAAATAAAAGGAGCCCTTTCTGGCTGAGTTATGGCCCGGGTTCGGCGTCGCTGAGAGGGATGCATGCCGCCGCCTCTCTCCCGCCCCAGAGGAGGCATCATCAGAGCTGATATATGGTCCAGCTCTGCATTACCTTTACAAAAAACAAAGGATCATCCGCGCTGTGTGAGTCGTGGAAAAAAAAAATATCTGAGCCTATAAGCTGCGGCCTCTAACGGAAGCCGAGTCGACTTGTCCGAATATGCTTAAATGAAAGCCTATGAAGTGCTGCTGGACTGGAGTTTCACGCGTAAAAACTCACAAATTGACTAAGAGATTGTGATCCTCTCCCTCTTTCTCTCTCTCACTCTATTTCCCTATCTCTCCAACTTTCTCTCTCTCTCTCTCTCTCTCTCTCTCTCTCTCTCTCTCTCTCTTTCTGCTTCCCCTCATTTACCCCACATACCTATTCTGGTGTCTCACCACACGACTAAATTAGACCAAAGATGATAAGAGCACCGAGCATTATAATTCCGCCGGGCTCCTCCTCCTTCCAACCATGCGTCCTAATTAATGGGACACCCCCCCCCTCCTCCTCCTCCCCCAGTCGCAAAAAGCCCAGCGCTGGACTGCAACATAGTCAAAGAGTGAAAGGGAAGAGGGCGAAAGTGCCACTGGAGATAATTGATTAGCCACCAATCAATGATAACTTGTTAGTAATCGTCGACTCTTTGGACTTCGCCATTTTCAGGGAGGCACCTCATTCCTGCGGATCGAGACTTTGAGCGCATCCCATTTTGGAATAACCCATCCTTTATTTATTTCTTTTTTTTTTATTTTTGGTTTTTCTACTTTACCTCCAAAGTGTTATGTGACTTTTTTTTGTTTTTGTTTGTTTGTTTCATACACTCATCCTCGATTTTGGATTCTTTTTTTTTCTTTTTCTTTTTTCTTTTTTTTTTTTTCCTTGCAATCTATAAAATCTGAAAGCAACTAAACTCTTCCTGCAACCAATGATGACATCCAAAGAGGTGGCCAAATGCGACGCGGCGGAGAACAGGAGACGCAGCCCGCTGGACCACTTGCCGCCTCCTGCCAACTCCAACAAGCCGCTGACGCCCTTCAGCATCGACGACATCCTGAACAAGCCGTCGGTGAAGCGGAGCTACGCCATCTGCGGCACGGCTCATCTCATCTCGTCCTCCGAGAAGCACCGTCCGTCCAGCCTGCCGCTGTCCAGCCGCGCACTCCTCACGCAAACCTCTCCTCTCTGTGCGCTGGAGGAGCTGGCCAGCAAGACCTTCAAAGGGCTGGAAGTCAGCGTGCTGCAGGCTGCGGAAGGTAAATGTCGGATGCTTTACTCTGCTGCATTTTACGAGTGGGGGGGAAAATACACTACAAATATTCATGTATTTTGATTTGATGTGTTGATGGAAAAAGGACGTGTTTTTTTTCTTCCATTTTCTCCTCATTTTCCGCTCTTCGTGGATTTTTCTGTTTTGGACTTGTTACTGTAAAATTATAATTTTCGTTCCTGTATTCAAGGTGAAAATTAAGTTTCTACTTAAGTGTCATATCCCTTATTTGTGTGAGTTTGGAACACTTTTATGTACAATCTAAAACGAAACCCTTAAGCCTCAGCAGAAATCCCTGATTTTCAATTCGCCTTTAGTGACGACGAGGTGCAATTTCATCCTTTCCACTTCATACTCACAGCATATGATGTACTTTATTTTTTGTAGATAAGCATTTTTAAACACGTCGACATGTAAATGATATATGATATACATCCATATAAATACTAAACCCTTCCACTTTAAATATTGCATTATTTTCTGATAACTTTCAAGATATTTTTGTATTTTATTTTTGTTCTGGTCCATGGTTGGGCCGGATGACTCGCTTGAAACATGAAACATTTACGACCCCTGATCGAACCAGAATAACTCAGCGACCTCCTGCTGCTAGAACACAAACATTAGAAAGGTGTAACCTCCTTTTCCTCGCGACGCACAACGAGTAGAATATAGAAAAAAATTACATTAAATCTTCATTTGTCTAAGCAGGTACGAAACGTCCCCAATGTAAGCGTTAATGCATATTCGGACCGAAATGTCCTGTGGCAGACGGCTCCATTTGGTACCCGAATAATTCTAGTAATAATTCTAGTTGACACATTTCTGTTATTTTAACTGTATTCTATTGTTTTCTCTGCATTTTTTTTTCGCAGTATCGACTTAGTGTTTTTAATCGAAAAACAGTGTAGTCTCAGCAGTTTTGTACTGCATAATCTATTTATACACCACATTCCTGTAGATTTAAAGTGCATTGTGGGAAATTTCTAGGGCACTATTCTTTCAGTAAGAGTGATATTAACTCACCAAACAGGCTGCTACTCTTGATTATTAAAGTTAAGGTAAAAACAATTTTTTTCAGCAAATAATAATTTAAAATAAGTCTGTAATTGACTAATTTTACTGTAAAACAGTTTCACTGATATTTGTTCAGGACTAAGGCTCCACTACAATTCAGTGTGAAGGGTTTTATAGATGACTTAAAATGCAAAAGCTGCAGGATAACTGTCTCCACTGTTATTTAACAATCTTTTTTTTTTCCAATAGAAAGAATGGGTCTGCTTTACTGGGACTCAGGAGACACGTCATGAGACACACACACCCCGAGGTGTGTCTCCACATCTCCCAAGTAAAACATATTCCGACCAAATTTTAACAAAAAAAAAAAAAAAAAAGTTGCCAATGTTAAAACAACAGAATGTCTGAAGATCCACTTTGAAATATTGCAAGAAAGCCTGACTGCATGGAAGGGAAATCTAAACAGAGAAAGACGAAATGGCAAACGAAGCTGCCATTTAACAAAAAGCACCATTATGAATATTCAGAACATTTAAGAAATGTTACATATACATGCAGGAAATATGGAGGTGGTACATTTTCAATAATGTCCATTTCAACTCTGAAGGAGAACAAAGTTTTACTAAAACATTAGCATAAACTCATTTCAATTCACCATGAATATGCACAGAGCGTGTTGCTAACTCTTATATGTCTATTTGTTTGAGCCCATTCCCAACAAGCTGACATGTAACACAGTCAGCTTAACCAAATATATTTTCTCCTTCACCATTTCGTGCCTTGTTGTTCTTTAGCTTTGGTCGTTTCGTACCCCAGTCGTTTCAGGATGTTTTGTACTTGCATATCATGAGGAACCCAGCAAAGGGACATCTTGTACACACATCAGTAACCAATTATTTTAAATATTCTGCTAAAAGCTGAATAATACAAACCATCAGGAGGTCGGTTCAAACTCATTTTAGTTTGAGGGCAGGGGTTGGGAGGGGTGGGAGGGGGTTCTGAGTCAACTGGACCAACCTAGATTGAACAATAACATTTTCAGACACTTGAATTTAATTTAATTATACATGAAGCTTTTTTCATAACAATTAATTTCCATCATTTAAAAAAAAATAACTTCAATGAGAAGTGAACCCATAGTCCATGGTTTTAGCCACAGGGGTGTGACATGGTGGAAAGGAACGAAATGGTAATGCATTGGTACGAAATGGCAAACTGGCCTCAAGTCAAGTCTGGATGCTTATTCAGTCCGTGTGCCCCAGAACGCCTTTTCCTTTAGGAACGCCCCTGAACGTACTAAACGGAGAAGTTGCGAAACAGCCAGCACCTTTTTGTTCATCGTGCCTCTCCCTTTTCCTCCGTAGGCCGGGATGGGATGACCCTGTTCGGCCAGAGGAGCACCCCGAAGAAGCGCCGGAAGTCCCGGACGGCCTTCACCAACCACCAGATCTACGAGTTGGAGAAGCGCTTCCTGTACCAGAAGTACCTCTCTCCCGCAGACCGCGACCAGATCGCGCAGCAGCTGGGCCTGACGAACGCGCAGGTCATCACGTGGTTCCAGAACCGCAGGGCCAAACTAAAGCGGGACCTGGAGGAGATGAAAGCCGACGTGGAGTCGGCCAAGGCCATCGGCCAGGTGCCCCTGGACAAGCTGGCCAAGCTGGCGGACCTGGAGAAGTGCGCCAACGGCACGCTGGGCCACCCGCGCGCCGAGTCGCCCGCGCGAGGAGGCCCGCAGGATCACCAGCACGAGCTCGCTCAGAAGCTGCGCAGCTCTCCTCTGTCTCCCTTCTCGGACCACACAACGAGCAAGGAGTGCTCGGAGGACGAAGACGTGGAGATAGACGTGGATGACTGATGGCTCTCACACACATACAGACACACACACACTGAGCGAGATGTGATGATGGTGGTTGTGGTGATCCTGCAGAGAGGACTTGTAAACTTAACCGCTTATATGAGAACATGTACCAAAACGAAATGACTTTTTCTATCGGCACAGATTCACAGTAAAGCATGAGCGCAGAACTACAAATATGCAGTGATGTATTCATTAGCGAACTGTTATTGTTTCCATCAAAGCAATATGGTCTAAAAATAACTTCTTATATATATTTTGTTTACAGTATACTGAAACGAACACGCGTGGGCATGCACACACACACACACACACACACACACACACACACACACACACACACACACACACACACACACACACACACACACAGACACACACATCTGCTCTGTTGGTTTTCCTATAAGCCCCTCCATACTCACCATAAAACCACTTCTGTTTTCCATATGTTTGCATGGAAATGCATGATTTGATTTGTAAACATTATATATTTATTTTTTCTTTCTTTCTTTCTTTTCTTTTTTTTTATTGTCACTGTTTTATTCCAAGAGCCAACCCCTCCTTACAGTCACTGCCGGCTCTTCCTCCTCCCTGCCTCCGTTTTGACTGCAGACTCACACTGGGAGCTCCGATAAAGGTGGAGATGTTCGAAAAATCAGCCGAACACTATTGCGATCCCCCCCCCCCCCCCCTCCCATCCTCCCTCAGACCCCCCGACAAGCTTTTAGATTATTGTTTGAATACAATAGATTTACAGTTCTATACATTTGTTATGTTTTCTACACCTGTAAGTGCCTTCCTAAAATCAGGACATTATCTGAAAACCAATGCACAGACTGTATTGTATATAGGCTACGATGGGAATAAAAATTGCTTTTCTGACTCCTTCTTCTACATTTTTTTTTAATTCTTGAGGGGTGTGTTTTTTTTTTGTTTTTTGTTTTTTTTTTTTGTTGCTAAGCTCGTTAAATGTGGGGCCTATTTGGAGTTATTCTGAGCTATTTTGTCCCCTTTGTTTCTCTTTCTGCTCTAAGCATTTTGTGCTCCAGGAATCCCCGCGTCCCCTCCTTTTCACGTCCAATAAATGCGTATCGTGCCTTCTTGACCCTCAGACGTGTTTCCCCATTCGGGCTAAAAATTTATGTGAGAAACACAAATCTGGTGCAAAAAAAAAAAAAAAAAAAAAAAAAAAAAAAAAAAAAAGTTTTGG